ATTGAAGATTTCAGAGACAGGACAGAAAATTAAGTAAAGGTAGGAAAATTAAGTTTGGGGACATGAACAAATGACCAATCTCTTTATCAAGTTTTGGTATACCTGTTATTGTGGCAATAAAGAGACCTCATTGTGTCTCATCATGGTTGTAGCAAGAATCGATCTAGGGTTATCTCTAGGTCTTTAAGAAACCTTCATGTACTTGGATGGCAAAAATTTTTTTAGTAAGTAAGTTTTTTTTTTAATTTTTAAACTCTAGGAAGATATAGCATTTAATATTTAAATTTTAAAATGAATCAAACCAATATATTAAGATTTTAGGTTAAATCTGAGCATAGTAATTGTATATTTGCTATATTTGAATTTTGGAACGCTTAAGAGAAATGGGCACATTTTAATATGTAACAGAATATCATTCTAATTTCACATTTCGATTTAAAATGTGAAATTGAGTTCATTACAATTCTAAGTTGAAAAGTATAAGAGAATATTACTAAGATTGTAAACAATATAGAAAGAGTTTAAAGAGCATAAGGTTCATCATATGAATAAGTTTCTTTTTTATTAGGTTTAAGAGAGCAGTGTAGATACTTGGGAAACTTTTGTTTACTCATCAGAAAATTGAAGAACACCCCTAAGCCCAGAAATTCCTGCAAGGACCAGAAAAATTCGATTGCAGGATTGCAGTTATCAAAGTAGTAGTTTATCAGCCTTCTCCATTATGCTGAGGGTACCTTGAAAATAAGGGTCAAGCCTCACCGAAATGATAATTTTTTGATTAATAATGGCTTTTTCATCAGCTCTTTCACTGTCTGCTGACCTCCTGTTTTCATCTGCATTTATAGAGAGCAGGATCGAATATTAAGTTACTGCCATTTTTCTTATTTCATTCAGGCAGGCTGTCAGACACAAGTGTCTAGAAACTAGCTTGTTTAAAGTTTTGGCTCAGAACTTGTGGGAAATATTTTCAATTCAATATGCTATAAATAGCATCTTTAGTGCTTGAGACAATCCTGTGAGGACAGTGTATGTGCTGAAGTCTATAATAGAGTCCATCGACATTATTTTTATCTACTTTATAAATTCAGGTCAGTATGCTGGATTAGGCACACACACAAAAAAATCCACTGAGTTCATTTTCCAGCCCTCTGCAGTGAAATGTCCCACACAGCCAACGATTTGCACAAATTACATAAGACTTTAAACTATTAATAAATTTTGTTGTGCAGGCCAGCAAGTTGCTGACTAAGAGGAAGAACCTTTCATTGCGGCAGGACTGCATTTAAAGAATAGCATCGCCTGGCCACCAAACGTCAGCAGGGAGGTGCTGAGGTTGCTGTGCTCCCTCGGAAATACTGGGGCTCCTACCGATCTGTCGCTCACACAGAGCAAAGTCTGCATTGTTTTTACAGCAGGAGCGACACCTTCCCATCAGTTCATCCGTGCTTTCTCGTCCCCTTTCCCCGGCAAAGGATCGGAGGCTCACGTTTGTGAGGCTCTGGTTAGTTGAGCCTTTGGTAGTTAGTTGAGCCAGAACAAGTGTGCACAGCTAACCAGCCCACGTGGGCGTCCGACTTGTGATACCGGCCCAGGCAGCGCTAAACCACTGGCAGGAAAGCATCCACCGGAGCTGGTCACAGGCACGATTCACAGCGACAGCAGGCGTGGCTTCGCAGCCTCTTAGGACCGAGGGGCCGCGCTGGGCTTTGCGGGCAGGGCGTGCGCGGGGGGCCGGCAGCTGCTCTGTGCCAGCACAAGTGGGACAGCTGCGATGAACGGGCCAAAGAGCCACCTCAAAGGCACACTGTGCCCAACTTCACACGCACGTCCTTGCTGTGGACAGCTGAGAAACAGCAGCAGCAGCAGCAAACGGACGGCCCGAGCTGGGCCTGGGTGGGGAGGGACGGACGACTCCGTGTGGCGCAGCAGGCAGAGTTGCACAAAGCTCTGGGGCGGCAGCTGTGGCCGCTAGCCAAGAGCCAGCCTTCCGTGCGAGTCGTGGACGGGGGCCTCTGGTCACACAGGCGTTTTCTCAGCTCGGTCAGAATAAGGGGCGTCTCTACCATCCCATCGGATTGTATCTGGGACAGGTGTACAGACAGTGTTGCTACATTCCAGTTCTAGCGACGCCGCTAGAATGCTTGCCAAATCTGCACGGTCCTGCGTGCCGTTAGCGACCGGCAGTAAGACTCTAGCTATGTAGTTATCCACCTAAATATAGAGCCTGGTTAGATGCCCTTCTCGAACTCTCCCACGGTGTAACTCTACTCGACTGCATTCTTGTTCTTGCCCTCCAGGGGGACGGGCAAGGTAGACAGACCGGTGTGGATAGCCTGTCTTCCAGTCTTACGGTGGACGGTGGGAGTTTGCAGGAATAAGGCACATGGGCGACCCACTACTGAACACTTACTGATTAAATGTCATTAGTTCTCTCTAAGCAGGCACGCACCCTGCATGCTGGTTGTTGCCATGCTGTTATATTAACACTCCCCACCGAGTGCCCCAGAATGGACTGATGGCTGTTAGACAGGGGCTCGCTGCTATTTCGAAAGCCCAGTGGACCCGTTCAGTCCCTCCAGCTGCGTTTTTCCTTGATACCACCTCCAAGGGTACCAACACCAGCTGTAGTCAGGGGCATAGTTCTCAGAAGAATTGTTTTCTACATTATTCCAATTTTGCTTGACCAAGCTGATGAACTTGAGCCGTTCCATAGCAATGTCTCGCAAGTTTAGAGGGCTCGTCCGTGATGGCTGTTAGAGAGAAGTGGGGTGGCTACCTCCTACATAATTGGATCGCTGAGAATGAATGTTTAGGAGAGGCTAATACACTAATTGCTTAGTGGTATTTAAAAACAAAACAAAACATCACTAGATGTTCAAAAGGAAAAAAATATTTTCAGCTTCTCCCCAAGGCATTGAGAAAAAAATGTATGGGCAAGAGGTGACTAGTCTACATATAGGGCTGCTAATATTATTCCACAGCTAGTCATCTCTTTCATTACTTTGCCACTGTCACTCTCATTTTAAGACCCCTCCCTCACCCTCTGCCCTCTGCCTTTTGTTCTCAGCTGTACTATGGGAAGTTTCGGGAACGTCGTATTTTACCTCTATGCCCGAGTCTAGTTCGCTCTCTGAGGATTCCGAACCCATTTTGTGAGGAGTAGGTTAACAGGGTGTTGTTAGACCACAGAGACATAAAACACACTTCTATTCTTCAAGAGTTTTTTGGGTTTTCTACAATTTCAGAGTATTGCAGGGGTACAAACGCTTTGGTTACATAAATTGCCTTTGCACCACCCAAGTCAGAGCTACAAGCACGCCCATCCCTCAGAGAGCAGGCACCGCATCCGATAGGTGTGCATTTGCCCATCCCCTTCTCCTCTCTCCCACCTGCCCGACCCCCGTGAATGTCACTTCACATATTGCACAGTCGTGTCGATCGATTAGTACCAATTTAATTGTGAGTACATGTGGTGTTTGCTTTTCCATTCTTGTGATACTGCACTCAGAAGAATGGGCTCCAGCTCTACCCAGGAAAATACAAGAGGTATTAGTTCACCATTGTTTTTCATAGCCAAGTAGAACTCCATGGTCTTACATATGCCACATTTTATTAATCCACTCATGTATTGATGGGCACTTAGGTTGTTTCCACACCTTTGCGATTGTGGATTGTGCTGCTCTAAACATTCCAGTGCAGATGTGTTTTTTAGAGAATGTCTTTCATTCCTTTGGGTAGATGCCTGGTAGTGGGATTGCTGGATCCAATGGTAGTGGGCCCCAGTGGTGAGAGCTAAGTGGTACTGCTCTGGTTTCTTTCCTTCCCCTGTCTCTCTCTGTGTTTCTCTCTTTCTGTAAAATTATAGTAAACTATGCATAGCATAAGAGTTACCATTTTAACCATTTTTAAGTATACAATTCAGTGGAATTAAGTATATTCAGAATGTTGCATAACCATGTCTGTCTATATTCAAAACTTTTTCATCCTTAATAGAAACTCTGTATCTGTAACCAATAAACAATGACTGTCCTCCCACCCCCCCCCCAAGTCCCTGAGAATCTCTTTGCCTTCTATCTCTGAATTTGCCTCTGCTAGATACAAATCCTTTTGTGACCCAGGGGCATTTCTTTTAGCATAATGTTTTCACAGTTCATCCATGTTGTGGCATGTGTCAGAATTTCATTCCTTTTCATGACTGAATAATATTCCATTGCATGAATACACCACATTTTATTTATCCATTCATCTGTTGATGGGAAGGTTGTTTCCACATTTTAGCAATGGTGAATAATGTTGCTACGTCTGGTTTCTTTTTGAGGATGGACAACTTAGAACTAACTAACTGGCAAAAAAAGTATCTGTTCAGGACACTGAGAAATTTTTAACTTGACTCAAAGTACCCAGAGTCCTGGGGTGTATGCAAGTGCCTACTAACTCACCTTTTCACCACCTTAAATTTCAAAAACTACCAAAAAGATGCGAACACCATAGAATTTATATCGTGTTAGTTACAATCTCATGACTTTTAGATACACCCAATATTGTAACAAGTAATAACTAGACATCAGACATGGGCCCAAGGTGTTTTAACATCATAGCAGATAGGAGGAAACTGTTGTTTTAGTACAAATATCTAATGTTTTACTTGAATTATAATTTTTCATGCTGCACTCTCAATTGCGCATTCTGTGATAGTTGTAATAGCTCATCAGAGATGAATAGATATTCATTTTTTTAAATTATAGATGTCAAAAATAACCAAATTTACCACTAGAAATGATTGCTCTTTCAGTCGGAGTCATTAGACAAGAAAAGTTATTATTTGACAATTTAGGGATTTTCTTCTCTAAAACCATATCAGATCTCATGGGTAATAAGTACATAGGTAATTTTGTCACATTCCTATCTACCTTCTCTGTCGCCTCCTCCCTCCCCTCCCCTCCCCTTCCCACCTCCTCCCCCTCCAATCCTGCACTCTGCAAGTGAGGAGTCACGCTTGCCAGGCTTCTCTTACCTCCCTGTAAGTCTCCTTGTCCAAGAGATGTAGACACATCTGAGGCTCATTCAAAATCAGAGCTGTAATTTGGAGAGCTTTTTCCTGGGCTCTAGTCAAGGACAAGTTTCTCTTAGTAAGAAAATGGAGAGATTTCTCAGCAGTCTGTTAACTTCAGGCCCATGGGGTGTATACGTCCCTTGCTTGGAATGCAGCAAAATCTGTTTTGCAGATAGTGGACAAAATTGCTGAAAGTGGCGAAATAAGGCAAATGGGTTCTGGGGCGTGTACTGTACCTGGTAGTCTGGGGAGCCAGAGACGAAGCGTGTTACACGTCTGTCTCCCTGGTTATAGCCATGACCTGACACGGTGCTGCAAACCCCTCTTGCCCTGGGATCAGCAGCGTGGTGAGGCGGGGCCCGGAGACAAACAAGGCCAGAGACAACCAGAACGGAGACCTTATTGCAAAGCTAAGTCTAATTCAGAAGTTAAAATATCAGTCCAAATTCGGAGACAGAAGGCATGGGCTGCCCCCCGTGTGCCCAGAGGCTGAGCTGCCACCTGCACACACGCCCGGCCCTGCCCCACCGTGGGTCAGTGTGTCTGCACAGCTGACGCTGTTGATCGCTGGCACGTGCAGGCACTGTCTCATGCCACTTCACAGGAGCGTCATGGGGGAGTTACATTCTCCTGAGACCCTATTCTACTGATGAGGAAACCGAGTCTGGACAAGATGGACATATCTGTGGTTGTCCGGGTCATGGAGGGTGAAGGCGAAATCCAAGCCAGCTGTGGCTAACTCCGGAGCCTCCTCTTCCACCCAGAGGGCTTCACTGTGGTCGGGACGCCGTCTCTGTGACTTGTTATAATCTTAGGGCCGTTAGGTAATGGCTCTGTGGGCGTCTTTGACAGCAGAACACGGAGCAGACGCAAGCTTCAGGCCCCCCTGTCCCATTCCCCGACGGCTCCACCCCGCACGTGGGCGTCCCTGAGTCCTAATGAGTGATCAACCGAGTTGGCAGAGATTCTAGTCATTTTGTTTTACACCAACACATGACCGGCCTCGGTTCTTGTCAGAGAGGCGTCTGTCTTTGCAAGTTTCCCTGGTCCCTCCCGGCGACTTCCTGGGCATCCGTCGGCCCTCACAGAGTTCGTGTGGGGTGGGGCAGCCACTGTGTGTCGCCTGTCAGCCCCCACTCCCTCCAGGGTCTGGCATGTAAAGTTTCTTGAACAAATGAATCCTTCCTTCTAGAAGCCACCTAACAGGCGGTAGGCAAAGAGATAAAAAAAAAAATAGGAAATTAAAAATAAAAAGCCAGATGTCCAGTGGAACAGAGCACCTGGGATGAGAGAAACCATACTTCTTAGAGTAGAAGAAAATGCATGAAGTTCCTTGTCTCCAAAGTCTTTTTCCTAGACCTGCCCCCAAGGCCGTGCTGGCCTCTGAGAGAGACCAGACCCGAGCCGCAGCTCTGTGCCCGCGGCCTCCCTGCCCCTCCCCATCTGCTTGGACCCTGGAGCTGAAGACCCAGAAGGAAGGACTTGGAACCCACTGCAGCTTCCTACACTCTTCGCGCACGCAATCTTCTTCCCTGTGGACTAATGAAAAGACGGGCACAAAAACCATTTCTTTGCACTCACTTCCTAGAGCGTAGGATATCGGAGGGTTCTGTACATGTGTGTGCACGTGTGTGCGCCTGCGCGCACGTGTGCGAGTGTTTCTAAAGCAGGGACGTTGAAGTTATTATTGTCTAATATCTGCATTCCACATACTAAAGCAGTGGTCTTGTCCCTTCTGATAGTCAGAGAGAGCAACCAGGGTTGAGTGCAGTCCCCCGACCCACAGCGCGTGGGTGGCCCGCGTGAGGACTGTGACCCGAGGGCTGCAGAAGGCAAGGAAATGAATAGGAAGGTAGAGGCCTGGGCTGAACTTGAGCTCAAGGCGCTCCAAAAAGAGGCCTCGGATGCATATTTCTTCCTCGGTCAATTAAGCATGGACAGGGAATTTATGGGGAAATGTGGGGCAACCAAGAGGCCGTTTTCCATTTTTTTCTCACCTATGGCCATGGCACAAGAATGCAGCGGGAGCAAGGACGTCCATAAATAGTCTGGCTTTGGTTTAACAGAGACAATTCCTTTCACAATCACAGCTTTAGCATGTGCTAAAAATGACAATGCCATCCAGTGTCAATAGTTCCAGGGAGACCCTTCATTCCTAGTTACAGCGATAAAACCGCTGGTGGGTGGTCGCTGCTGCTGCTTGTCTTCATTACCATTTCATTGTGCTTATGTGAGGCCCGTGCACTTTGGAACTCTCAGGCACTTTAAAAGCCTTTCATGCATTGGCGGGGCTTGACATTCATATTTATATGCCTTGCCTGCACGGCAGCAGAACCTCCATTCTGGGGATCCCCCTCCTTTGTGTATTCAAGGTCACGCCCCATTTGAGTGGGGATTGCAATATGCCCTGAGAACACCAAGCCGTCCCAACTCAACTCCGCAGCCCAGGTCCTCTTCGGTGCTCAGAGCTCTGCCTCTGGATTCAAAGTCAAAGGGAAAACCTAGAATGAGCTTGTTGAATTAAGATAACTCGGGTTTACCTTAGAAACTTTACAGTATTTACTCTCGGAATGTTTAAAAGTTTTGTCACCTTTAAAACATACCCCTTTGATGTCGCATTTATAAGCAAAGGTAGGTAGGTAGTCCCACACTTTCATCATCATCCTAAACGGCTAGTCCCACTGCTCTCCATCCCGTCCTCTGTGCTCCGCCAGAATAAACTTTCCACGACACAAGCCTGACCGTGCCAGGTGCCCCACCACCTTCAGAGTAAATGGCAACATCCTTATTGTGGCCTAGAAGGATCTTCAGTGCTTGGTCCCTGCTTCCTCAGTTTCCCCAAGTCCCCGCACCCATCCTGTCCTGCAGCCAGGTGTCTGAAAGGGCCTCGCTCCTTTTCACGTCCCAGCTGAGCCTCGGCCTCAGTTCCCTCTCGCCTGACAGTGTGATTTCTTTTCCTCTTCTCTTGGATAACTATTTCTTCTTGAAAACTCACCTTCAGCATGTTTTCCTCCCAAAGCATTTCCTTTCCGAGTCCTCTGGGGCTGCATTAGATGCCCCTCCCCACCCTGATCTGCAACCCGGACATGCTCTGTGCGCCTCCCAGCCCACGGCCCACAGAATTGCCATCGGACTTGCTGCTCTGCTTCTCCCTGACCTTGAGCTCCATAAAGGCAGGAACTCTCTTTTCTTCCTCTGCACCCCTAGAGATTCGCCAAGGCTAACTCACAGAGAAGAGCAAGTGATTATTGAATAAATATCAAATAAATACTGCCAAATCACAATGAAATAATCTTTCAAGTTAATAGTATCTATCAAGAGTCTGAACCCACTAGGGCAATAAATAGCTTCTGGTCGTCCCTTGCAATGATGTCAGGAACAGCTGAGATTCCAGCCAGGAGGCCTGAGAGATGGGACGTGAGGACCCCGGCTGGGCTCTGGGAAGTGGGCAGGAGGCGTCTCGCTGCTGTCTGCCCAGGGACATAGTGGTTTGTTTGCTTGCTTGTAGAGTTAGTTTGCCACTTCCCTAGTAAGGACATGAGACATGGCATGGGGATTCTTTCCTCCTCCAAGGCCATCGATGGTTCACGCGAGAATTTCATACCAAATGGCAGAATCACGCGCACTGGGACCCTCCAAGGACTGAAATGGTGTTTTCAGAGTTTATTCTTTGAATAGAACTCTTCAGTGCTCACGGAGGTATTTTAAGTGGTTACTTTGTGAAAAATGAAAAGATGTTCTTCCCCAGTTTCTGACAGTGAGTTTGGGAATAAGTTAGGTGAAATATTCTGAGAAAAGAGAATAAAATTAATGCGATTTGCTAAAGTCCAGGCGGGCAATTCCCCCTGCGTCTTGCCCACACCGCTGCCTCGGGCCTCCCAGGTGGACTTCGACTGGCTCCCGGCAGCCTTGCCCCGGCCCTTGGGTGCCCTTTGTTTAAGCATTACATGGATGTTTGTGAGATTATTCAAGTGATTTCCCACAATTTATTTCAAGCATTTACTGTAGGTGGCTTCAGGAATTTTAAGTAGCATGTAAACTACAGACCACCTGCCTAAATGCACCATATTCAGCATCGGTTTTATATTTTAACAAGCTAGGAGAAGACATAGTTCTTGAACTGCTGCCAGCTCCCCAGAAAGGCCCTGGGCACCTCAGAAACACCTTAAAGGGCCCCTCTTGGGCAGCCCACAGTGTCTGTCTCTCAGAGCGCGCGTGGCCCCAGACCTGTTCCTTCCCCCGTAGACGTGTTCCCCTAAAGACTCTTTCTGAGATACCTTTTCTGGGACTCAGCAATGGAATGTGAACAAGAATCTGAGAATTTTTTAAAGCCCAAGGATATAAGTTACTAAGTCTCTTCTACAATCCAATTGTCCTCTTTCCCCACTGTTGTAAGTGAGCTCTGACTCACTTCCCCTCCTAGATAGGATTTCCTCTTGTGTATACTCCCAGGGCAAAGGGATTCTTGGAATGCCTTTGCCATTACCCCTGTTTCTTTAGTTTGTATATCTAAATACTCTTAGGCCTTGCTGAAGGTGTTTCTAGCCACATGACGCCATCTTCATGGTTTGTGGCGTCATCCACGCTGGCCTCTCCCCCAGGGTGGTCACCCCTCTCCCTACACAAGTGTCCCTGGGCACAGGCCTGCTTGTCTCCTGCCCAAGGGAGCGTCATCGTCAGAGCAGATGCTCCTGGGCCCCCCAGCTGCCACAAGCCAGGCAGGCAAGCCTGGAGCAACCCAAACCAGGGCTGGCGTTTGTGCCTTCAGGAGGTATTAATGACATCTAGCGTAGGTCTGAACAAAAGCTACACTTTGGAAAGTGAGCAAACCAATTCATAAGAGTTCACAGAAGTCTACCGATCCTAATCACATACTTTGATTACGTGTTCTCCGTGATCCATGGTGAGGGACACTCTAGACCCTACTAAGGCCTCTCAAAGAGGTTGTCACTACACCCCAAACACCTGTCCTTGATGATTAATCATCATGAGAGATATCAATTATACATGTATTGGTATTTTGACGACCTATTCATAGTTCACCCTGAGCATTGCGTGGCAGTGCACTGGGTATTTTTTGACATTTTCATGAGTATTGCTGAGGATAATTATTCCCTTAAAGAGGTGCATTCATTCCATTAAACCTTACAACAATTTCTCTGTGGTAGATGGAAAGAAACATAATCTTAGCTTTTAGTCCATGAGAGATCATAATCTTACATTCTAACTGAGGGAGATGAGGAACAAACATAAACAAACAAATGCTGTCATTTCAGGTACTTCTGAGTACCGGGGAGGTAGACGAGGGTACTGTAAGACAGGGCAGCCCACTCTTACGCAAGGCAGTGAGGCTCCATCTGAGCCCGGCCTGAGGGAGGGGAGGGAGGCAGCCCTCGAAGACCCAAGGAAAGCGTGGTCCGGACAGTCAGGATGGCAGGTGCAATGGCCTTAGATGAGAACGGCTGTGGCAGAAAGGACAGTAGGACTAGAGCAATAGGGAGAAGTGTCTCTGGGGAGGCTGGAGGGCAGGGCAGGATCCAGAGCATGGCAGCCACTTTGAATTTTGTTTTAAGTATAACAGAGACATCAGGGAGCTTTTCACAGGGGAGTGACAGCATATGATTTATGCTTCAGAAAAATCACTCCATCTGCCCTGCGCAACATAGCTGGTAGGAGGCAAGGGACAGGCAGGAAAGCAGGTGAGGCAGGAGCAAAGTCCGTGTGAGAGATGACGGGACCTGAGATGATGGTTGTTGCAGCTGGGATGGAGTAATGTGGTCACTTTGGGGGTATATTTTGGAAGAAGTACCAACAAGACTTACTCTTGGACTGGATGTGGAGTTCAAGGGAAGGAGAAGAGTCAATAATGACTCCAAAGCTTTTAGTCTGGGCAATGGGGTATACAATGATGCCATACACTGGAAAGGATTTGGAAAGCTCAGTTGGGATGGGGAGGAAGTGATCTAAGGGGAAGAAAAAATTTCAAAGGTTCAATGTTGATGCTTGATCGTGAGGTGCCCCCACTTAGTCATCTAGCGAGAATGTTGAGTAGGCTATTGAGTGTTCGAATATGGTGCTCAAAGAAATGTTAGGGCTGGCTAGATAAATGTGATGATCAGTAGCATCAAAATAGGTCTTAAATTTGTGGGACTGGGTGAGACCACCTTGGGAGAATGTAGACAGGTTAGAAAGTTAAGAA